TTTTTGTAACTTCATGACTTTCTTTTTTTCTAACAATATGAACATATGAAACATAAACATTTATTTTCTGAACAGAAGGAAAATTAAGATGCATTATGCACTTTGTAAATTCTTCCATTGATTTGTAGCATTCCTGGATTGGGTTTGGTTGAATATTTAAATTAGATTTCTTTTCTAAGATTTCTGTATATGCTGAAATGCTGTATAGAATGTAAAATTATACATTTTCTTACTTTAATTGGATTTATATAAATTAGTAAAAACTATATTAACAAAATTGTAATCAAGATTTTGAATTTCAGCTATTTTTAAACTATTTATACAAATTTACTAAAATCCATGATCTTTTTTATTTTATTAAATAATCATTTTTTGTCTTGAAATAGAAAAACGTTTTTATAGTAAATTTATTGTTTGTATTTATTCAGGAATGTGGTTTTTAAATCATCTCAAATTATAAAAATGTACATGAGTTTTCTTGTTTCCAGTAAATAAGTGAAGATACAAATGTAAAGACTTAATGATGTTAAACTTACTTTTCAATTTAGCACAATTTACTTGTAGGATTTCAATATTTATACCAGAGTGGGTGTATACCAGATTATACCAGAGTGGGTGCAATTAAATTATAGAAAAATGTGATGTTTATAATTTAATGATCTTCAAAGTAGACTGAGCTCTAATATAGGCAGGATTCTATGTGTTTTGAGAAAATAGTCCATATTTTCATACTAGTGCCATATCTATGGTTTCACTAATTACAGTTCAAACATAAAAATATTATTCCCTTAGGTTTTTATTTTTATTTTACTGTAGTATTTCTTTAGATGTCATTTTTTTGTTGTCAATATAAAAGTCGTAGATTTTGCATACGTATTTTGTATTTGTTTATTTATTATTTTAATAACTTTACTTTTGCTTATATAACTTTTGATGCTGCTATAATGACTCAGTATATACTGGTATACATAGTATACAGTATATACTGAAACTGTATACATGTGTTCTGAAAATTTGTCAAAAAAAATTCCAAGTAGATGTTTTGATTTTATACTATTTTAACCTTTATGGGCCATTGTTGCTGTATGTCAACAAAAAAAAAAATAAAAGCCACTAACTTCATTAATTTGTTTATTTATAAAGTGCTTTTGTATTTTATAATGATTCAGCAATGAGAAAAAAAAATCATAAATGTTGCCATACACTGTTTTATAATTGTATAGTGTCAATTCTTTATAAAATAAAGTAAAAAAATTAATTGGGAAAAATGTTAAAATGTTTTTCTAGTTTCTAAAAAGAAAAATTTTAATTTTTTTTTCTTATTTATTTTTTTCTGAAAACTTTCTGAAAACAAAAAATATTTGTTGCCACATGGCAACAACAGACAAAAAGTCGGATATATGATATATATATATATATCATATATGAATATCGGATATATGATATATATATATATATATCATATATGAATATCGGATATATGATATATATATATTTATATATATATCATATATTATATATATATATATATATATATATATATATATATATATATATATATATATATATATATATATATATATATATATATATATATACATATATATATATATATATATATACATATATATACATATATACATATATTATATACGTAAATTATATATATAATATATTTTATTATATATATCAAATGTGTGTGTGTATATATATATATATATATATATATATATATATATATATATATATATATATATATATATATATATATGTATATATATATATATAAACAAGCTAGTAAAATAGGGGTTTAAAAATTTTGTTAGAGTTGGCGCATCTCATATGATGTATGATTTTTTTTGTATTCTGGAGCTATTGGAAATATGAAATGTAATGAGAAATATGTTGTAAGAAAGCTTTCTAAAAAATGTAAATCATAAACTTTTTTTTGACAATTAGTTTACATCTTTGGATTTGTGTTTGAAGGTAAAAGCTGATGAAATTTTAACCACAGCAACAATTATATCAAACTAAGTTAAAAAATGTCTCAAAAGAAAAAGAATTTAAAAAAAAGGGTGTGACAGCAGTTGCTATTTCACAGATGTTAATTCAGGATTGGTTTTGGTGAGATGGTTTGACAACAAATGTGTTCAACTTTTTTCTACATTCTCTACCCACATTACATTATCAAATGTCAAAAGATGGAATCAAAAAGCTGAATACATGTCAATGTTAATTATTCTGAATTGTAAAGGAGTATAACAAGTCTATGGGAGGAGTTGACTTAACTAACATGCTGATACCCTTTTATCATGTTTTTTCTTAAATAAAGCTCATTCTTACACTATGTATTGGGTGGACACGGAAAAATCCGGTCAACTTTAAATTGAGATTTCTCTAAAACCATAAATGCTTTTTATTTCAATTTTTTTATTATTAAATGTGTTTACATAAATTAGAGTTTCAACTTAATTTTAAGGGGCTTGATGGGTTGCTTGGCAAGAAATCAAACTTTATAGCAGGTTGATGCCATCATTTTACAGATTTTTTCTTTTTTTCACCATATTGGTGGCATTAATCCACTTTTTTTTGGAAGTCCTTTTTATTATTTGTTAGTCCACCTGTCTTACGAAGAACTCCTTTAACTATTGCCCAAAAATTTTCAATCAAGCACTCTTCAGGACGATTTGGAGGGTTGCCATATTTAGGAACAATTTTCACATTATTATCTTTGCACCACTGTAAAACTTTTTTAAAATAGTGAGAGGCAGCAAGATCGGGCCAAAAGAGACATTGGTATTTGTGTTTTTTTATAAAAGGCAAAAGTCTTTTTTGGAGGCATTCTTTGATGTAGAGATTGGCAGTCAAGGTCTTTTTAGTGACAAAACAAGAGGACTGCATACCACAGCTACAAATTGCTTGCTCGTCGAATATATTTAAATTGATCATCAACAGGTTTATCTTTGTTTTCATAGTAAAACTGTTGACCAGGAAGTTGTGAAAAGGCCGCCTTGCAATACGTTTCTTCGTCTTCAATTATGCACATATTTTTATCCGCCATTATTTTAACTAACTTCTTTGCGCGTCGAATTCCTTTAATTTCAGAATTTAAGCTTCTCTTAGGTGTATTTTTTTTATGAAATGCTTTAATTCCAGCATTTTTAAGTACTTTTTTGGTATAAGAAGGAGAAGTCTTAAATTTTAGTCTAGATTTAAAATCCACAACTTTTGTTGTAGATTTTAAATCCAGACTTAAAAAATATTGCAATATTGTTGGTATTCCTATATTGATAAATAACCTTCTTACCCTCAGACAAATTCTAAAAACACATTGTAAATGTAATTAGATCTGCTTTATCTTCCAAGCTTGAGCCACTCACCCATTGTTGTAAGGTTGCATTTCTTCCTTTTTTCTACAAATACAATCATGGTCAATGCTCAAACAAGCTATCATCTCTATTACGATAAACCAAAACTCATTCTTGCTTGTTTCTTATTCAACAAGTTGCATCCTTTTACTGTATCTGTCCCTTCATGCTACAAAAACTTTTATTACTTCAGTTTTATTCCTTGCACATCAAAAAAAAATTTATAACTATTAGCCATCTTCATGTTTTTCTTTTATATACAACCTACAACTTTTCAAGTCTTCAGTTAACCATTTTATAGTATTTTTACTTATTCTCTATTTTAAAGTAACTCATAATTTAATAGTGGTTGCTTGCAATCTTGTTGGAAGTAAATTAGAGTTTGAAAATATATAAATTTATGCCAGATATATCATTGTGATTTATCATTGTGTAGATATCAGTAAAGTCAATAGATGGCTTCTATATTGTCATTATGCTGATCAAATAAATATACCCAAAACAAGTCATATTCACTGTTAAAATTTATTTCCAGTGTGGCTGAAGCTCTTATATCTGCTGGAAAAGAACTACCTTCAATGTCAGTTGGTAACCATAAAAGAGATTGATTGATACTGGTGAAAATACAAGTAAATGTGGTTGTAAACATTTTGTACCAAACCCTTGTTTGGATGTTTGCTATGATTGCACAGATCATTGGCTAGAATATAAAAATTCAAAAAACAGGTGTTGATTTTGCTAGATTGGATTTAGTCGGGGGTATTGTACAAAATGTAAAATAGTTTTTTGCCTGACTCAAAATAATTTTTTTAAAAATTGTTTTATGGGTTTCACAAAAAATAACTCCTTCATGTATTTAGAGCGGTAAAATTAAACTTACTTTTCTTATAAATTATATCGGTACTGACTAAGCATAGTCAAACCTAATGTGCTATAAGCATAGTCAAACTTATTGTATATATTGACATAATTGATGCTATTCATCATTATGGTATTCTTTATACAATTATAGAAAAGTTATATATTTTTTAAAACATTTTTTCAAAAATTTATTTAACTATGGAAGGCCAATTTCGTCATATGGCAGCAATTGATTTGGGAAATTGCTAATGTCAGCAAAAAAATATTTATATTTTTTATTAATTTGACCCTTAATTGTTGAAAAGTTATTATTAAATTTTTTTTTTTTGGCCCATAAAGGGTTAATATCATGATTAATTCTTAATAATTTTTAACCATGAATGATTTCGAGCATGTTCTTTTTTTAAAACTACTTATTACCAAATAATTTGTTTATCAGCTGTTTAAAAAATTAGTTTTTTGTTTAGTTCTTATACATTTATATTTATAACTTTTAACACTTTTGATTCTTATAATAACACTGCTCATAAAGTTTATGGGAAACATCAGCTGTTTATTTTGAGTGTATTTTTATCACTAGAGTATTGTTGAGTTGACTTTTTTAAAAAACGTCTAAATTATAATACTATAATATGCAATATTAAATAAAAAATTAAAATTATTATAAAAAATAAAGAACTTAACTCATATATTATATTATAATGAAACATTAAAATTTAAAAATTTTCATTATATATAAATAAATAAAAAATTTACAAATATATTTTTTAGGGCATGCTGAAGCTGTAATTTCTGTGGCATTCAGTCCGGATGGAAAGTAAGTTTTTGAAATATAATTAAATTCAATATAAATAAAAAAATAAATTAATTAATTTCAATATAAATAAAAAAATAAATATAATTAATTTCAATATAAATAAAATAATAAATAAATTAATTTCAATATAAATAAAAAAAGTTTTTTAGATTTAATTTACTGTTAAGCAAAACAAAAAAAAAAAGTTGGGTTTACAAAAAGTTGGGTTAAGCAAAGATATTTTAATATAATTTTATTTTAAATCACTCGCGCCATAAATAAAACATCATTAGTTGATTTTACATCACCATCACCTGATAAAATGCACAGCTTGCATAAAACATGATCACATGACTGTCACATGACTAATATATGATCAATACATAAAGTTATTAAAAAGTTTTCAAAGTAATATTTACTTTAAAATTTTTCATTGGTTGAATTGAAAAAGTTCTCAAAAGTTTAGGTAAAGGAACACTTCACTTTAAAAATTCCACTTCTTTTAAAAATTATTAGTTAAGTTATTAACTCTAATTTTACAATAATTGAAAAAAATATGTCATTAATTTTAGTAATTAAAATTAAAAACTTGAGTGATAATATAAAACCTTGATTAGATACAAAAGAAAAAAAAAAGAAATTATAAAAAAATAAACAATAAAGTTTCAAAAAATATCTTGTTTAAAAGTAGCATCACTAAAAAAAAAAAAAAAAATTCAAAAGGTCATTTTAAAGATTATTAAAAAGATAAGTTGAAATTTTTTATAAAGTTTAGTGAGGTATTTATAATGAGTTCAAATATCAGTTGCTGTTGTTGATGCAGCAGTTGCTATTGTTAATGCAGCATTTGTTGTTATTGATGCAGCAGTTGCAGTTATTAATGCAACAGTTGTTGTTGTTGGTGTAGCAGTTGTTGTTATTGATGCAGGAGTTGCTCTTGTTGGTGCAGCAGTTGTTGTTGATGATGCAGCAGTTGTTGTTGATGATGCAGCAGTTGTTGTTGATAATGCAGCAGTTGCTGTTGTTGATGCAGCAGTTGTTGTTGTTAATGCAGCAGTTGTTGTTAATGCTGCTGTTGCTGTTGTTGGTACAGCAGTTGTTGTTGTTGATGCAGCAGTTGTTAATAGTCAGTAGTAGACAGCATCAACTTAATTTCTTAATTTTAGTTTTATTAATATTTATGTTATAATTATAGTCAAGATTAATTTTTCTACAGATTTGATAGTTAGAGTAAAAATAATGATGATAAATAAAGAAGAATAGTTTTTGATTTTTTAAAATCAGAAATAAAAAACATTGTTTTCCAACAATGAGGAAACACAAGATTTACATAAACACTTGCTAAATAGTATTAAAAGTACATTCTTTTCAAGAATGCAATTACGAATTACAAATTACGAATTACAAATTATAATTACAAATTATAAATGAACTTGTAAAACCACAATTGTGTATATCACCATATATTGTAAAATAGATTTTCAATGGTTTTCTTACAAGAGCTTCTAAAGTATGTTCTAGTGATTATATAGAAAAAGAAATTAAATCCGTCATAAATATTTTTACAGAATAGATATCCTTGACAACAACTTTTAGACATAATTAAACATAGCAAACCATCCAACCAAAAAGCTGTCAACAAATTAAACACTAAAAATACAATTATACTTCTGTGTGTTCCTAAATTAAGTCTTTATCTTGGAGTTTTGCAAAGTTGCAAAATAAAAAGTTGGCAAAAAATCAGTTTTTGGTTTTAGAAGATCTTTACTTAACCTAATATGCCAAAATTATTCAATCTACATACAAACAGTTACCCAGGAGTTTACCTATTAGAATGCACTATACTATTTTTCTTTTTCCTTTGATTTGAGAATTTTCATATGTAAATATAAATTAAAACTTAAGTTACATGTTTTGTATACTTCTTGATTTTTTAAATCTTTTTAAATTGTTTTATTATCAGATACTTAGCTAGTGGTTCTGGAGACACAACTGTAAGATTTTGGGATGTAAACACAGAAACACCTCATTTTACTTGCAAAGGTTTTTTTTATTTCATTTTTATCTCTTTTTATTCATTCATTTTGTAAATTTTCATTTTATTAGGTTTGGTAAATTTTATATATATATTTATATATATATATATATATATATATATATATATATATATATATATATATATATATATATATATATATATATATATATATATCTTATATATATATATATCTTATATATATATATATTTTATATATATATATCTTATATATATATATATATATATATATATATATATATATATATATCTTATGTATATAAGATATATATATATATAT